GGGTATTTTTTAAAGAAGAGAGCCAAAGCAAAAAAGATTCAAGACTGACGGATTCAATGACGATAGGCATCGAATTGTGCAGGACACCGCACAATTCCCGGCACTGTCCATAAAAGACACCTTCACGGTTTAGGATAACTGAGGTTTGATTCAACCTTCCGGGGATTGCATCAAGGGTGATACCAAGGGAAGGAACTCCAAAGGAGTGTATTACGTCCCTTGCGGTTATGATCAGGCGTATGTGCGTATCTACAGGCAAGACAACCCTGTTATCGACCTCCAATAGACGTAATTGCCCCGGTTCGAGTTCTGATTCAGGGATAAGGTACGAGTCGAACTCTATAGCTTCACCTGTGTCGTTAACATAATCACTATACTCATACGACCAGAACCATTGGTTACCTATAGCCTTAACTGTGATGACCGGGTCTATCACCTCGTCTAAAAGATACAGGAGCTTGAAACTAGGGAAAGCAATAGCAATCAGCACGATTGCTGGCGTGATTGTCCAAATAAGCTCAATAAGCGTCAACCTCTCTTCCTAGCAGTGCAATAGGATTGAGAGGTCGGACTATTTCTTCATGCCTTACTAATAAGCATGTTCCACGTATAGTCTCTGAGGATCCCTCAGCTAAAGGTTTCCTGCTGATAGTCACTATAACATTTGCCTATGTTACTCCCAGGTTAACAGGTAAGTTGACTTATGTAGTGATGTTCCAGCATACAGTGGAATGCACAGGGCAGCAGATTATTTAATTGTCTGTAAGGGGCCAATAATTTACTGGTTATAGTGTGATCGGCCAATCAGTTTGAAGTATGCTGTAGTGTCAATAACATTAACACCACTTGGCACAGCATTACTGTAGGATCAGCTAAGTACCGATCAAACGCTTGAGATCGGTTAACTACTCGCCATATGAATCGTGATGTATCAGCTTTGGACTTGAATGTAACCCATACATCGTGTTTGATATCATGCATTACCATTGCCACTTTAGCACCTTTGGGGTTGTTAGATCCCCCTTGGATGTTAGTAGCCACAACGTAATTAGGGTTCTTGACAAAGAAGAATGTACCTTGTGTAGTAGCCACTGGTTTTTCTATATTAACGTACCGTTCAATGTACTTAAACTCTACTTTGTTATCCAGGGCCTTAGCTGCCTGAGCAGGACTAAGGCAGGTATCATGTACCGTTTCCTTATCCTGGTGTAATGCATGAATCCCATCTGGAAGACTATCAAGGTCCACGTCCTGAATAGCATTGGTATTAAGTGTTGGGCCTAATGGTCGTGGTGCCACTGTAGCTCCTTCTTCCCGTATTGAAACGGCAAACCGAATGCAGGGCTCCAAACTGTAGTATCATTATTCAGATGTGCTATCAATGTGTTGTAGCCTATTCCTAGCTGGTTTGCTAATCTACCTTTGAAGAGCGAGTTGGCTACTTGTCTAGTTACATTTGTGATTGCATCATTAGAAGGTACACACCTGCGTAAGGCATTAGGTCAGGATGGTTGAACAAGGATGCCATACTTTGACTGTGATGGGCTACAGTTTTGGGGTCACCTTGAGAGGTGTCATTATACACAGCAAGTGATGGTTTAGGGTCTTTCGTAATCAGATGTTTAAGTCGCTCATTACTCTGTAGATAGTCTAGTACAGGGCTATTCGTACCCTTAAGGTACTCAAACATAGCTAACACTACGTTACGACCAATTGTCATTGCTTTAGTCTCATGCCATGGGATTGGCTGCACAGAGGAATCGGATGGCAGCTTATCCGTAATGCTCTTCACGGGTATAGAAGACTGAGTAGCACTATGAGGACTAGAAGTCGAGTAGTGACGACCCTGAGTCCAATGAGGAGAACAGACAGGTTTCTGCTGCCCTGAGGGCCCTTACAAACCATGGTTATGGTATTTGTGCACGATCTGGTTATGGTAGCTATTGAACTTCCGGATCGTTGAGCTTAGCATCCAGGCAACCCCTAGCAGGATAACTATGAGGTAGAACATAATCTGATCGTGCAACTCTATGATGCCCTCGAACGAAGGTGATCCCCCGTCTTGAAACCCTATTTGCCATGGCTGAGGTGCATCATTGCATGCTACTTTAACCGTAAGAATGGTATTGAATAGGAATCTTAGCATATTAGTCATCTAGATTTATGAGCCCTTAGATGTAGAGAGAAAGAAACGAAGCGAGATGAACCTCGCGGTTTGAATGGTAAGGGGGGGGATTGTATCAACAGAAGTAGAAGTACCCATTGATTGAGTCCAGTCAGAGCACAAAGCACAGGAGGCAGGGAATTTAGACCGAGTGTCCCTATTTTTAGGCGGGGACTCCGAGTTAGATAGAGACGCTAGAAAAGAAGGCCATTGCTTCATACCCCTTACCTGACCAGGGCGTTTCCCAGCGAGCTTGCCATGGCTCGAGGCAGGGCCACGCCGAGATGACTGCAGAGGCGGCCTTGTAGGCGACAGCAGCCCGAAGCTGCGAGGTGAAACCAATGAAACCAAAATTAGAGGGATTTTTGATTGGCCAAGGCAGAGCCTCGATCCGATCGCCCTATTTATAGCCCAAAACCTAGGGAATTATGGCCAAAACTTCCGATCCGAGAACCCCTAACTAGAGCTGATTCGAAGGAATCAGTGAGGGTGGAGCTCTTCAAATTGCCTTTGGAGGATAATCCCCTCTTCTCTAGTAGTTGGGAACCGTCCCTTCTTTGACCGAATTGATAAGGTATTCTTTTTGTTTGTATAGAATTCCTGAGTACGACCTAACCTATGATTTAGATAACGATACTGAGAATGAAGAGAAGAAAAGGATATCGCGGTTCAATGTTAGCGGTTGATAGAACTTGATTTAGAAAAAGAGCTATCTTCGCCATCCTGCTACTAAAGAGGTGTTAGGAGTGCTTTTGACAATGGGTTCTGTTAATGACCTTTAAGTAGAAGTGGAGTGGCTATTAACACTAAAATACAGCAAGGAGGGCCAGGAGAGCCGTATGCAGAACCAACATTAAAGGATGTCTATAAGAAGAATCCTGATGGTAGTGATTGAGTCCACCCCGTTACTGGCAAGAAGAGGTTATTAGGAAGCCTTTTGCAAGCCCAGGCCCTTTTTGGTCATAGGTAAGCGCATGCACTGTAGTTTTACCAACATCCCGGGTAACACCTAACCGGTCGGCTTCTTCTTGGTGCTGGTCTCTACCCTGAATAAATAGTTCTGCTGCTTTCACATCCTCTATAATATAGGCGGTCATTCTGTTTTCCTGATTCTTCAAGTCTAGAGAAAAAACACCTGGTTTATTTAACAGTAGCCCTCTCATGTTGTAGCGATTTTCTAATACTTCGTCAGGGCCTTAATTTCTTCTGGTAAACTAAGAATACCTCGGGGCTCTTTTGGCCAAAATTATGGAACGCTGCTTTTGAAGTCGTAAATCTTCCAGTAGCAGCGCCAAGAGTTTATAGCCATAACGTAAAATATTGCCTTCTGCCTTGCTCCTCATATGTTTAAGGTCAGCGAGGGTTCTTGTTTTTTTAGAGAGATCCCCGAGAGCAACAAAAATAGGATTATCAGGAAATCTCTGTCTCATAATTAATCTACCTTCTTTACCAAAAGGAATAAATACCTGATTTCGTCTTTTCAACCCCAAAAAGCTCCTCTTTAGTAAAATTATCTTTCAATCATTTATCTACCATTTGTGGTGAGTTTCAGCCCTTATCCTTAGCTTTACTATCGGTACCAATGGTAATATCAGGCAATTTCTCTAATATTGGATTTTTAAGGATAGTCATTTGGTAATACGATTATTAATCTCTTTCATATTTAATTCTACACCTCGGAACCCTGCTTGTCATTGTTGAAGATGTACTGGGGAAAGGGTTTATATCATAATTATAGTTTTGGTGCTTCAAAAAAGAAGTGTGTAACTGTTTGACTAAAGCAACGTCATGGAGGGCATATTCCTTAAAATCTTGATCATAGACAATACCCTTAGAAGAAAATACGTTTGTCTTTGCTGCGAACTTTAAACGTTTCTTAAGAGTTTCAATTAATTCCCCTTTTTCGCTAGTTCCCAAATATCTTAGGGCTAAGTTTTCAAGATCGAATTTAATACGTTCAAGCCCACTATTATCACAGGTTCTTGCTAATAAAGCCTCAATCTGGGCCCGCTAAATCTTTAATCTTTTCTTTTAGTCATTCTTTTTTATAGACAAATACCTTAACTGTTTCGGGTTCAAAACACTGTAAGGCGTCATAAGTGTACATGGGATATTGATTTGGAACTTAATGCTCTTCCAGATAGATAGTTTTTGCTTCTGCTAATAATATTGGTAACAATTGACGATGAAGTTCTAATAAGAAGTGTTCCTATTCTTGTAGGCCTGTTACCAAAAATAGCTAGTGGCGCATCTACCATTCCCGGTAATAATTCCATGAGGATAGAAATATATCTAATTGAACCTTACCGTATAAATATACTCTGTCTTTAGAGGCGTATCAGTGGACATCATCTTTATCCTTACTAAAATAAGGTGGTTTGCCGGTTACTTGGAGAGAAAAATATGTTCTTTTTTGCTAACTGTCAGATATCACTAAGAGACTTTACATCCGGGGTAATTAATTTAAAAATAGGCTTTGTCGTCGTAAAAATAGATACTTTGAGGGCTTTGGTTGCTTCAGCGCCATACATTACCCCTAAGTTCGTCGTGGTCGGGGTCTGAGAACATGGAAAAGGTTAGAAAGTTAAAGTGTTTTGCCTCAAATTCTTCTCAAGTAATTACTTCGTAGCCATTAATAGAGCCAACGGGCAGGGGCTTCTCCAAGTTTTTAGACTTCCATATTTTCATGTTTAAAGGATGAGCTACTTTCTGCTCCCCAAGTCTTCTCATTACTAAGCGGGCTAGAGGTGTTTTTCCGGTTACCGGGGGGTATTTTGAGAAAGAAAGAAAAAGAAAAGAAGACTATGTACCATAAAGGAGAAGAAATGCGATCATTATACAGAAGAGAGCCAAAGCTTCGGTGAGGGCGAAACCGAGCACAGCATAAGAGAAGAGTTGAGGACGAAGTGAAGGGTTTCTAGCTGTAGAAATAATAAGGGAAGCAAATACTATCCCAACTCCTACTCCAGCTCCAGCTATACCTATGGTTGCCAGTCCAGCACCGATGATTTTTGCAGAAGCTAGCATATAGTTACAGAGACTTAATGTCGCCAAGGACGATTAGGAAACTAGAGTTGCTTCGCCGAGCGAGGTACTTTACTCGCAGAAGGAAGATGTGGTAGGATTTTTGGAAGCACTTGGCCATGTGTTTGGAGGAAGGTAAGAAAGGTAGGTAGGAAGGTGGTAGGGTTGGCAAGGGGGGAATTTATAGAAGACCCGGAGGCACCAAGGGCGCCCAGTCCTTGGGCCGAGGGGGTTAAGAAGAAGAAGGGCCCAGGCCTAAACTATAACCAAAGATTAACCATAACTTTAACCCACCAAGACAAAACTACAATCACCCTAACAACTATAGTTTAACCTAAGGTGTAAAGGCTCCTACCACTTTTGACCTCTAGAGTTTACCCCCCTAATTTGCCTAGAAGGTTCATTTCCAATACCTCGATATTTTCATCATATCTGAAAGGATAAAGTGGAACTTATAGACCAAGGTCTTCCGGATTCATTGAACTACAACCCTTCACCTCTTTTAATGGTAATTCGTGCTCCCCCCCCTCTCTCCCCTACCCTGCCAGCAAGGAATGGACACCACCATTCCAAAAAGACAAGGCCCTAGAAAGGTCCCAATCTTCTCTTATAGCTGGTCGGAGACCTGGGCAGGGTACCTTAAAAACTTAGATTATAGAAGAGGTCGTAGGAGGGGGAGACTTTGTCTATCAGTTCTACTTTTTCTTTTCAGTTTAAATTAGAATAGTATCCGAAACCTGGAAATAAGTCTTTGACAAGACAATGTACCTTGCTATTATCGTTCTACCCCTCCTAGCTTCTATGGCCTCTGGGCTTCTAGGTAGAAAACTAGGTACCACAGGTGTTCATATTTTGGCTTGCTTAGCAGTAGCCCTTGCCTCCTTACTAAGTTGCGTTGCTTTCTTCGAGGTAGCTTTAGCCGGTTCCTCGGTTACAGTTTCACTAGCTACCTGGTTAGACTCCGAGCTGCTCGACCTATCCTGGTCCTTCCTGTTCGATAGCTTGACGGTCTCAATGCTTCTTCCCGTGCTAATAGTTTCAGCCCTAGTGCACATCTATTCGGTAGGGTATATGGCCCCTGATCCCCACCATCAGCGTTTCTTTGCCTACCTGTCGATGTTCACATTTTTCATGCTGCTCTTAGTCTGTGGGGACAACTTCCTAGTAATGTTCATTGGTTGGCTTTCCAGCCCACTCCTAGTTAAATTGTAAGGAGTTAAACTCCACTGTATGCTGGGAACCCCTAAAGGCCAAGGTACCGGTCCTTGCGGAAGACTTCTCCGTAAAAGGAAGGTGACAATCCTTGGTATGCAACAATGGGCAATCAGCAGGAAACCAAAGGAGTCACCTTCCTTAGTAGGATCCTCAGAGACTATACGTGGAGCATCTGTGGAGATCAGTTCAGGGCTCGGAATAGCTAGGTTGGGTCCAAGCCAGATACTTATTTGGAAAATCCAATCCAAACCCTACGAGACCTCTGCCCCTACTGCTCCCGGTGAAGATATAGTCCAATCTTCTTCTATTGAATATCGCCTTTTTTAGAATAACAACCATCGAGCCCGCTAGGGTGTCTCTCAGAAGGGAAGAGGATGCGTGGGTTTATAGCGGGCTATTTAAAGGATGGTCCAATAATATGGGGGCACACCTTTTCTATGTGGTTAACTCAAGCAAGGGAAGCTACTATAGTTTCTCCAGTGCCAAATCCCACCCCAATAAGGATAGTCAACCTCAATCCCCTGAAAACCCAATAGGGACACCATAAAGGAGGAGGCCACACAAAACTCCTCTAAAGGCACTACAAGGCCCACAGGGACTAAGTACACTAAGGGTTATAAAAGTCAACAAACCTTATCCGGGTTTCAAAGGGAGGCACTGGTAGGGTTATTGCTGGGGGATTGCTATGCCGAGCAAAACAAGCCTCATCAATAAACTCTAATAAATTTAGACCAATCTAAGGATAAGCACTCGATAATCTTATGTTTTTATTTAGTATTTTGGAGGCCTTTGTAGGCTCAAACCCTATATCTACCAGACGTAAACCAGACAGAAGAACAGGTAAAACCTACGATAGCTTAATCTTTAAGACTCTTACTTTCCCTTGCTTGAATGAGCTTAGGATATTATTTTATCCCCTCGGTCCTCAACGAGGGCATCGTACCTCGGCCGTGGGCGAAGGTAACAAAATCGTACCAGAAAACATAGGCTTACGGAGGTAGGTTTACGCTTTCTTGATTATGGATGATGGGGGTCAAACCTACAACGCTACGGGGACTGACTTCTTCATACCAATAGTTTTACATACCAAGAAGTTGCACTTTTAGTTAAAGTTCTAAACGAAATTAAATATGGAATGCTGGGTTATTCTGAAACGAACAAATCAATGGGGTATTTTAATTCCTAAGCGAGAGTTGCCTAAAGTAAGAGCCCTTGTGCTTGCTCATATGCATTCTTCTATGCTACATAAGTGTTTAGTAGCTAACCTTTCCCCTAATGGCCCTGCAGGGTTGTTACATTTTGTCTCTCCTGAGATGTTCAATAGTAGAAGATAGTGGGAGGGTGTAGGTGTCACATCCTATTTACTCATCAGCTTTTGGTATACCCGAGTACAAGCAACTAAATCAGCTCTGCAAGCCATAATGGTTAACAGGGTTGGAGATTGGGCCTTTTTAATAGGGCTATTTCTCTTGTTTTGGGTCTATGGCAATCTTGATTTTCAATCTATCTTCTCCTTGACCCCTCTAATAAACGAAAGGGTTCTTACCCTAATAGGTGCCTGTCTACTGGTAGGCGCAATGGCCAAGTCTGCTCAATTGGGTCTCCACGTTTGGCTCCCAAACGCTATGGAGGGTCGAAATATCCTTTTGCACATTTTATTGGGTTGGTTCTGTGGCTCTTTTCGACATTTGGGGTGTCTCCTTAATTTCAACTACATATTGTGAGGAACTACCATTTCCCCGCAACTCTCCTTCTTTGCCTGCTGAGTATCTAAATCCTATTGATAGGCGATCTGCTAGGTGATGGAAGTCTACAAATACCAGGTAAGGGAGGCCATAATGCTCGTTTGAAATCACCTTAGGCACTATAAATCTAGCTCTCCTTCACCATTTAAGATAGTAGTGTATAAGGCCCTTTGTACTACCACCCCTCCTACTCCTTATCCTAACCCTAAGACGGGCCAGCAACCTAGTCAATTGGTTTGGTACGGCACGAGCTCTGTTAGCCCTTACTAATCTTTCTTCTGTCTGGTACACTTCGGTTGATGGAAGGAAGGTCAAAGTAGTGCCTCCTAACATAGACCACCTTTTAACTCAAATAGGGTTAGCACACTGGATCCAGGGAGATGGATATTGGAATAGGGATGATCGGACAGTTGTTCTCTGTACTGATAGCTTACAGAACAAGAGGTCCTTTTACTATGCAAAGCTCTCCACACCTGCTTCGCCTTAGAAACTCGTCCTCGAAACGAATTACTTATACTGGCAAAAGATGCTGGCGCATAAGATTTAGTGCCAAGAAGGAAAACCTTCCTTTTATTACAAACCATCGTACGCCCCTATATGATACCCGACCTCTACCCCAAATTAGGTCCTCCTTGAACACAAGCCAACCCAATCATTTCTGCTAACCTTATTG